AATTAGTATTTTCTGTACAGTGAATGGCACGTAGTACACTATATAGGGGACAGGGAACGATTCAAACAGTGTAAATATGCTTTCCATTGAGGAAAAGAAGAAGTCTTGTTTCGCGCTGTGTCACGCTAACCACCACACACTCTGCTCCGGTCCAAAGACACGATAGCACGGAGCGGATCACATGCGCGAGTCGGCGCAGACCACAAAATGTATCGGAGCTATTTGAATTCTACACAGAATGCTATATTTTATAGCAATATGGATGAGATTGTGGCTGGCATACCCTATCAAATGCGGCTTTACGGAGCTCAACGGCTCTGAACTGCTCTAGCCCAAGCTGTGATATAAACGAACGCTATTGGCTATTTTAAAAAGGGGCGGGGCTGCTTGATATGTCCCGCCCAGTCTTCCTGTTTCAGTTAAAATGACGTCAACACATAGAGTAACGCTGTGTTTCTGAGCATTTCAGGGGACCTTTAAGTCACTTCAGCAGATACTTGTGGGTTTGTGTATGTCATTTTTTAATCAAATTGACTGATTTCATTTACTGGTGGAGTGGTAATGAGAAAAAAACTAAGCAATGATGATATCTTTTAGAAATTTCATGTTTTATTTCATATACGTATTTACCATTCAGAAAGGACACATTAAATTGATCAAAAGTGAGAGTAAAGACATTCATAATGTAAAAGAAAAAACTAATCATGATTCCACAAAAAAATATCAAGTGGCACAATAACTGCTGTTTTTAGCAGCAAATCAGCATATTAGAATGATTTCTGAAGGATCATGTGCGCAATGATGCTGAAAATTCAGCTTTGTCATCACAGGAATAAATTGTATTTTAAAATATATTCAAATAGACAGAGGTTATAGAATATTTCACCATATTACTGTTTTTACTCTATATTTGATCAAATAATGCAGCCTTGGGAAGCATGAGAGACTTCTTTCAAAAACTTTTCATGGGAAGGTATATTTGTATGTATGTAACGATCCTCAAATCTGTTTGAAAACAGGCCTGCAGTGAGTTCACCAATCACGTGATGAACCTGCTGAGGGAACAGTCCCGCACACGGCCTATCTCGCCCAAAGAGATCGAGCGCATGGTGGCCATCATCCACCGCAAGTTCAGCTCCATCCAGATGCAGCTCAAGCAGAGCACCTGTGAGGCCGTCATGATCCTTCGCTCTCGCTTCCTCGATGCCAGGTGTGTGTGATCTGTGCTTTTTTAGGTTTTAGGTGTCTTGTTGTTCTGTTGTGCTGCACTTTTCCACTAATTATTAGCCTGTTATCAATGAAACACTCATTTTTCCACTTACTTTGTCCTCAGACGTAAGAGACGCAACTTCAATAAGCAAGCCACAGAGGTGCTGAATGAGTACTTCTACTCTCACCTCTCCAACCCTTACCCCAGTGAAGAAGCCAAGGAAGAGTTGGCCAAGAAATGTGCTATCACTGTCTCTCAGGTAAGGTCACGCATGGTCTACAGTTGTCCCATGTGAGTATTGCAAAACCTGGAATCCAGCTTTCCAATAATGGAGCATGAGAAAAAATGTCCTGGAAAATAAGTCCTGCCCCATATTTAATTTTTTTTTATTTAATGAAATTATACTGCTTTGTCAAACAAGGTTTTCATGAATTATAGCATCATTCTATAATACTGTCATAAAAGTTGCATCATGTCCATAATGCAGCTGTTAGCGTCTTAAGTGTCATGACACAACAACAAAAAGGTCACTAGCAGATACAGATCAGTTTTTGCTTAAGCATAATTTCTGTTCTCTTGAGTAGTTATTGATGGCAATTATTAATATCGCACATTTTCGCAAGGATGAGCGCTTTTTGCACATATTGCAGGGTTGAAAAAGATAAAGAAAAGTCTGTCATTATTTATTTGCCCTCATGTCACTCCAAACCCATAAGAGTTTGGTTCATCTTTGAAACACAAATAGAGATATTATTAATGAAACGTGAGCGATTTCTGTCGCTCTATTGAAAGTCCATTACACCAAAACTTTGATGCTTTAAAAATACATTGTAAAAGTAATTCATATGAATTGAGCAATTTAATCCAAGTCTTCTGAAGAGATATGATAACTTATATGATGAACAAATTTAATTTAGGCTTTTATTCACACACACACACACACACACACACACAATCATTGAGCATTGTACATGCATAGAGCACATCAAATATGGTAAACAGAAGATAAAACACACCAGCGTGCATATTAATCAAAATATATTCCTTTGTGTTTTGGAAAAGTCTTTCAGGTTTTAAATTACATGACTGAGTTAATAATGACAGTATTTTCAGTTGAGTTGTGAACTTGTGCTGTTATCATGTCAGACTTCCCCTGATTACAAGTCTCCCACTTGTAAAAACTGTTCATGTTTGTTGAACTCCTAATTACTAGTTGGAAAAATTTTATGACAGTTCTATCTCCTCCCACGTAACTTGTGAAGTCAAAACAGCCAAAATAGCAGCAGCTTCAAAAGTTACAGTTAGCTTAACTTCTCCACATTTCTATTTGATCTGTGCAGGGAAGTTCCTTTACTAATAGAAGAAACAATTAGGAAACATTGCAGCTAATGTTACGTTTGTGTGATCAGAAAATCTAGAGCTATCATGTACAGCTGACATTAGATGTATAGATGCCTACCTACAAAATGGAATGAGGTAACTTTTTGAACAAATCATAATTCGCACTCACTGATAAATCATTTATTTGATATCTCACACACAAATTATTTCACAAGAAGGAAGTTCTATTCAACATTGCCTAATGGCAGATGTTTTTGATTCAGCTGTGATGGAAAAGCAAAATGCCAGAAGCACCAATGGAACCTTGTAACTGAGTGCATTGCAGAAATATTCATTAAAAAAAAAGTGTACATGAAAATAAATTATGGCAGTGTACCACACTACCCTTGAAAAGTTTGGGGTCTTTTTTAAGTTTCTCTTATGCTCACCAAGGCTGCATTTATGTAAACAGTGATGTTGTGAAATATTGTTAAAATAAGTGTTTTCTATTTGAATATATTTTAGCATGTAATTTATTCCTGTGATGGTAAAGCTGAATTTTCAGCATCATTACTCCAGTCTTCAGTGTCACATGATCCTTCAGAAATCATTTTTTAAAAAAAAGTTTTTATGGAAACCGAAATACATTTTCCCACAAAAAAGTTCAAAAGAACTTTACATTTATTTGAAATGGAAATCTTTTGTAACAATGTAACAATCAATTTTATGCTTACTTGCATGACAAAAGTATCAATTTCTTTCCCGAAGAAACACACAAAACTGAGCCCAACTTTTTGAGCAGTAGTGTAAAATCTGCAGTTGAGTGAGTTAGCTCAATAGAATGCAGTGACATCTGCAGGATGAGAATTAGTGTCAGAATCTTTTAAATGAAAAAATTGCACTACTTTGAAATATACAGGAATGTCTTATTAGTTAATTGTTGTCTGACTGGAGTTGTTTCACCTCAGGTCTCGAATTGGTTTGGCAACAAGAGAATTCGGTACAAGAAGAACATTGGTAAGTTCCAGGAGGAAGCAAACCTGTACGCCGTTAAAACAGCCGTGGACGCTGCCAATGTGTCGGCACAGGCCAGCCAGGCAAACTCTCCAGCAACACCCAACTCAGGTAAAGTGCACAGCAGCCCTCCCATCATCTCTAGCCGATAGTGAAACTACACTGCGCACACCGCTTGCCACAATCGCTCTCCTGGCTACATGCTTTTCACGCTATTTTCATTCCATCTCAGTTCTGTTTTTCGTCCGTTCTCAAGTCTGTTCTTGTCTGTCCGTCTTAAGATGTTTGTTGGTATTTGCATCAAGTACTTGCTAGGTGAGATTTAGATGTTGTCGATCTGGGTTGCGCTGTAAAGCTGATCTGATTGTATCTAGGCAACTGCTGTTTTGTAAACATCTTCAGGATAAAGCCGTCATAGTGTCGTTTTTCTATGTACCTGGGCCGTATGACTGCATTCATCACGCATCTGTAGAAATGTGTTTATGAATGGGTGTTACATGAAGCAGAGTTTAGTTTACGGTTACATAACATCTCAACTTGTCGCGTTCATATGACATTGTATAGACAGGAAGTTAATGTGCGAGCACAAGTTTCAGTCTGATTTTGAACTTATGCCAGGCTTGTTCATTTGTTATGAATAATCATATTTTTGGTTTCTTATCCATCATGTTACAGAATGAAAAAATACAAATGAAAACGATGTCATCTCATTTGATTAAAGCAGGGAACTGCAGGGAGGTTGTAAGCTTTTGAAAAGCTACAAATGTATTAAATAAAAAAATATATTTTTTAATAAATCAATAAAGATTAAGGTAAATTATGAACTATTAGTATTATCCATACAAAAAACAATGACTAAAAAGAAATCTATTCATGTGACTAGAGTTGGGTACCGAAAACCGGTTCCATTTTAGAACCGGTTCCAAATTTCCAAGAACCGGGAATTCGATAAGACATGCGCGTGCATTTCCATTCTGCTTAACGATTTCTGCGTTCGCATTTTAATGTGATTAAAAACTATTTAAGTGCAGGAACGGAAAGAACTTGCGCTCTGTTTGCGTGCAGTTGCGGTACGGGTTCCCGGTTTGTGTTCGTTCTCGAACCGTTCCGTGTATTTCCACTGCAGAAAAGGTTGCTCTGGGCCAAAACTGACTTCTTTCATATTTGTCGACCAATATGCAGAAAACTACGTCAGTATATCATCATAAACACAGCCGTTTTTGTCTTACGTGAACGTAAACAGATGAGAAAGAAAACACACGTACAGTATTTTTAGATCTGCGTGCGTTCGGTCTTAAAGAGACAGCGGCCTAATAAACGCGCTGCCTGTCATTAATGTTAATCAAAGAACAAAAGAAAATCATTCACTGATCTTGAATATATTTAATAACTTTAATTGATTAATCTATATTTTATTTATGAAAAGAAAACTATGCAGTGTTTTTAAACTTTTAATTACAGTTTCTGTACCTGAAATTTTGTTCAGTTGTATTTATTTATGATATTGCTAATTGATTTGTTTATTCCTATCTTATTACTGACTGTTTACTTGTCTTTAACACTTTTTAATATTTGAAATGTATATTAATCTAGTTGTTTTTGCTGTGTTTTTTTTTAAGCATAGGCAAAATTCCTCTTGCAGTGTTCTGTAGGCTGCTGATTTTTGCTCGTGTTATTCAGCTGCAACAGAATGCTTTGTAAAAAGGCAGAGTAAACGTTTGACTTAATTTTTTTAATATTGGATTTTTTATCTTATTGGAATCGAAACTAGGAATCGATCAAATTCAAACGATACCCAACCCTACATGTGACCTTTAACTGTGAACATGCAAATGTGTTGTTAATTATATTATAAAAAATCGTATCTTAAACTTGTCTGAAGGGATGCTTAAGTTAATATTTAAGGTCAAAGGCAAAACAACTTTGGGAATCCCTAGATTAAAGTATTTAATCAGAATTGGATTGTCTAAATGTAGATGTGACCAAATTGCTGTTAAATTAAACATCTGTCTGTTGAATTTCCATTACGTTATATAAACTCACTCAAGATTGTTTTGATCATACCACCCACACTCACCCCTGGCCAAGTGAACATTCCCTTCATTTCTGGTTTTACATGGCCATTTTCCTCTGAGGCTATGCCGATAACCAATACCTTTCAGTTGATGACTAACATTTTTTTTTTATCTCTGCCGAAATTATTGATGCTGTGTTTGTCTGTTTAACATTTCCATGTTACTTTCATATGCACACGGGACACATCCACACACACTTGGTTAGAGTAGTTGAACCTCTATTTGCTCAGGAAGCGGAATGAAGAAGGTAGGTGTTTTAACTTGGTATTGTCATTTTTAACAATACTCGGTCACCACGTATATTTTTAAACCCCACCTCCACTATCCTGTTTCACATCCTGCGGCCAGCGTACCAACAATGCATCACATCATCTAGAGGAAGTAGGATGTCAAGTTGTATACCTTCATGTAAAGCAACAGGCCACATCAGCACATACATGATCGCTGCTTCCCGTTCTTCAGCTGTTTTGTTCTGTCGTCTCTATAGTCAGCAAAAGTAGTCAAACAGATTATCGTGACCGTCTTGTATTCCGGAATGTGGTTAGTCCTGATTGTCACACTCAGCACAGACAGCAGACAGATTTTCACCACACACACCTGTAGGCTTGTCCAAAACCCGACCCGGGCAGGGTTGCGTGCCTGATGGGCTGCGTGTATTGCTGCAGGGTCGTCTGGGTCGTACACCCTCTCTCACGCAGGAGACGCCTTCCTCGGGCTGCGTTCACTCAACGGGGATGGCGTCAGCGTCACTCCCGCTGTGCAGCAGCAGCAGCAGGTAGGCACTGAGGACGTCCCCTCAATGCCCTTCCTCTTCCATACCTGCTCACAGTGTAGTGCTCTCTTCCCTTTTCCCGAAAGCTACAGTCCCAACCCCTTAGCACCCACCCCAGAGCGCTTCGGCTCACGAGTCCCGAGTGTAGAGCTCTATCCTGAAAATGAACTCCGCCATCTTCCCTGTGGCATTGTTCCATTTCATTTCTTCATCGGTCATCCACAGTCATGTCCTTAGCCAATCCTTTGCCTCCTTCCTGTTAGATGAACTCTTATCATCAAGGGCTGAACAGTAAGGATGTACTACTGAAAGTGTTCTAGGGCAGTGTTTCTGCCCCATCACACCACTACTGCATGTGTTTTTATGATTCGCAAATTTAGAAATGTAATGTCCTGTGATTTTTTTTTTTTTTAAATTATTTTCTCCCCTATAAATACGTACTTGGCAAAATATAAATAAATTGTTTTGAAATCAATTAATTGTTTTGAAAATAATTTCAAAAAAAGTATTGAAAAGAAAATGAAATAGCAGCAGCAGGTAGGCACTGAGGACGTCCCCTCAATGCCCTTCCTCTTCCATACCTGCTCACAGTGTAGTGCTCTCTTCCCTTTTCCCGAAAGCTACAGTCCCAACCCCTTAGCACCCACCCCAGAGCGCTTCGGCTCACGAGTCCCGAGTGTAGAGCTCTATCCTGAAAACGAACTCCGCCATCTTCCCTGTGGCATTGTTCCATTTCATTTCTTCATCGGTCATCCACAGTCATGTCCTTAGCCAATCCTTTGCCTCCTTCCTGTTAGATGAACTCTTATCATCAAGGGCTGAACAGTAAGGATGTACTACTGAAAGTGTTTTAGGGCAGTGTTTCTGCCCCATCACACCACTACTGCATGTGTTTTTATGATTCGCAAATTTAGAAATGTAATGTCCTGTGATTTTTTTTTTTTTAAATTCTTTTCTCCCCTATAAATACGTACTTGGCAAAATATAAATAAATTGTTTTGAAATCAATTAATTGTTTTGAAAATAATTTCAAAAAAAGTATTGAAAAGAAAATGAAATTATTAATTTTTATTTGTAACATTTTATATTAGAACTAAGAGTCTTAATTACACTAATGTTAAAGTTTGTTTTGTAATGTGTTTGAGAAAAAAAGTGCATTATGTTATACGTCATACATTTTTAATTTTAATTTGTTTTTATTTTAAAGGTGGGGTAGGTGATTTGGTTCAAAATCATTTTTTGTTATGCTGGTTGAAAGTCTCACTAAGTTAAGTGCCTGAATTTATTTTTATCGTCTGTAGAAGGCGTAGGAACATAAAATGTTCGTCCGAGCTGTATGTATTTGCATACCTCTGACATGAACAGACATGAATGTCATCAGCGCATTCCGCGAGAGTGAAAGGCACTATTATTGTAATATTATGTGCTTTGTACTGTAAAGTTTTTTTCAGCGGTGAATGAGACATGAGGTAATCTGACAGCGTTGCATTCAGTCCTCCACCATCGCCGTCTCTCATCGTGTCGCTAGTTAGCCTCTGGTCTAGCTGTGTGCATTCATTTGTTTAGGAGGAGCATGGCTTTGGAGAGTGATTATGCAGGGAGGGTGGGATCTTATGCTTTCAAAGCTAGCTTGCTATTGCTAGTCTTTCTGAAATCGCCTACCCTACCTTTAAGAGAGCTTAACTTAAGAAAAAAAAATATTTTTTATTGTGGTGGGGTGAGTGAAAGCATCAGTACAAATCTGAGCTACCTGCCAAAACACATCCTTATTGTTGAGCCCTTATATATTGGTCTGATGCCACTTTTACTCTGTCAGCCAGTTGTGTTGTTTTATCCACCTTTTTCTTCAACGCGGAAGTAAGCCTATGGGTGAGACTTCCGGTTCATTAGCCACTATAGGGAAATAACGTGCAGTAAACGGTAAGACTGTTTGCACTACAAACGAGTGTGTTCATACTTAAGACAATACATCAAAATTATATGGTAAGACACACCAATTTTCAATATCAAGCAGCAAAAGGAGCGGTTCTGTCCAGCTAAAAATAGCTGGACGCAGATGAGACCGGAAGCTAGACCCATAGAATTTGCAAATGGCCGCGCCCATTTTTATGGCAAGAAAAAGGTGGATACTTTATTTTTCCAGCATCTGGAAAGAATCAAACCTTGTGTGTGTGAAATAGTTTTTCACATCTGACTTGTGTTTCTAAATGAAATGCATATCTGATGTGTGGTAATGTTTACATCTTAACACCGAGTTCTCATTCTTCTCTTAATACATATATTTGATTTCGTAGTCGGATTTTAAAATCAAAAGAAACCAGAAATGTGCTGCTTTATCATTGTGAGCCACTAAGGAGTGCAGAGTGGATCACTTTACACGAGTGACGCACTGAAATAGTGCAGTGCAAATCAATTTGGTCTGAAAGTGATAGTTCACCCAGAAATGAAAATACTGTCATACTTTACTCACCCTCGTGTCGTTTCAAACTCAAAAGCCAGATGAAGATATTTTTAGTAGTCTCTCATCATTTTTGTCCATCCATTGAATGTACACAACAAACCTTTGACGCTCAAAATCCTCCAAGTCTTCTGAAGAGACACAATCGCTTTATATGACGAACCGATTCAAATGAGGCATTTATTCAAAACATGTCACTAATGACAGAATTTTCATTTTCTTTCATGAACTAATAACAGATGGGACATCATCATATTAGAGAATGATGTGGTTTAGGCAGTGCATTGACTCTGAACTGATACATATATATTAACTCACTACTTCTATGTGGTAGTTTGTCATATCGGTTTTGTTTGTGGTTTTGAGCATAAATATGGATGATGTCAGTAATGTATTAGCAGTGTTGTTTATACTGTTACTGGTGTGACTAAGACACAGTGATTGTGTTTGAGCTTTGATACTGATGTGACGTATGTGTGCTACAGGTGGATATCCTGCACCGTGCTACACACCTGACGGCAGGCTATGAAGATCTGTCAGGAAGTCCTCTTTACACCCCACACCGTCTAGATGTGAGTGCAGCACTGACACACACACACACACACTCAAGCAACAAACTGCTCCAAAAAGAAAACACATTTGCTGTTTGTGTAACTGGGAAGATTTTTAGTTCAAGAGCATTAATCTGTTGAGATCATCTCTGTTGGTCTTAAGTGTTGGTGTAGACCTAAAGATCATTTGAAGGGCTAATGTCTGCTGCCTGCAATTTGTGGCTTGTATGCGTTGCTGTTTCAACATGTGTGAATACTGTCTAGATGCTTATCAGTCAACTGCAGATAAATATTGTATGTTTGGACACACTATTTGAACAAACCCTGAATATATTTTCAAAAGTAGTATACCTGCAATGCAAAGCATCATTACTTCAGTGTCACATGATCTTTCAGAAATCATTCTAATATGCTGATTTGCGGCTCAAGAAACATTTCTTATTATCAATGTTGAAAACAGTTGTGCTGCTTCATATTTTTGTGGAAACCGTGATACTTCAAGTATTAATTTCTTTTAAAAAATTCTTACTGGCCCCAAACTTTGGAATGGGGGTGTGTAATTTTCATATAAATATACAACATTCCATACATCCCTTTTGTTTTGCTGCAAGTAATGCTGATTTGCGGCTCAAGAAACATTTCTTATTATCAATGTTGAAAACAGTTGTGCTGCTTCATATTTTTGTGGAAACCGTGATACTTCAAGTATTAATTTCTTTTAAAAAAATTCTTACTGGCCCCAAACTTTGGAATGGGGGTGTGTAATTTTCATATAAATATACAACATTCCATACATCCCTTTTGTTTTGCTGCAAGTATTTTTTTTTCAGGCGTCAGCTTCATTGCTTATGTTACTTTACCTCATACTGCTATTGTGACTCTCTCCACAGGCTAACAACAGCTGGCAAGACAACACCAACCCTTCCTCCATCACCTCTCCACCAGGACCACCTGGCAGCATCCACTCGGACACCTCCAGCTAATGTAGCTCACGCTACACACACACACACACACAGCATCTCATCATCCAGTCTCACCCGCTCTCTCCTGCTGCTCACAGCTTTCGTCCATCACTAGCCGATGTCAAAGGTCTTTCATAGTCCTCCTTCCACTTTCTTCAAGGTGTGCCAGGGTTCACACGCTGAACCAGACTATCTGAAACACACACACACACACACACGCACGCTCCTCGAGTAGAAGACACAGAACGTCACATTTCTGAGGACGGGTCTGAATAAACAAAATGTCGTCCTCAAAGGGTGGACGTCAACGCCCAACTCCACGTTACCTTTCCTGTTTCATGATGGGGATTACGCAACGGCTCCCTCCTCGCTTGTACCAAAGTGCTGTCAACGGTTGTCGCACCTTCCGCTCGTCGAAGAACAACCTCAGACAACTAAACCACGAAAACGCCATTCAGCCCGCTTTTTAATACGGTTTCCAATCACTGCTCCCAGCTTTCTCTCAAAACCATCTGTCGTGCATTGTTGCGTTAAGCACAAATCCTGTCTATAACACTTTGAGCTGGTGGTCGGATGGAGAGGAATCCATCAGCGTAAAGGTACGCCGGACATTTGAACACTTTAACTAGCTGATCGCAGGAGAGTTCGGTGAGAAACAGGGGACACTTGGAGTGAAGACGATAAGCGATCGACGTGCGGTCGGCTACTATGCGTTTCCTCAGTCCACTCTCTCAACAGTTGACGTTGTTTTTAATAGTTTAGCTACAGTATTTTTCCTGCAGCCTTTTCCCCCCACAAAGATGCACCAGCCACCAAATAAAAGACTCGACAAGAACTCTAAGCCCTTGTGTTCGGGAAAGGGGTTGGACGGATAGCTGGAGTATTCGTTTGGGTATTTAGAAATATTTTTAAAGGGAAAGAAAAAATATTCCACTGTCTTCCATGCATGTAGGGTGTTGAGATGTTTTAGTGATTCCATTTAGCCTAACTATTTTTTTTTTTTTGACAAAAAAAAAAAAACCTATTATAAAAGGAGAGCGGGTGTGAGTAACAGACCAAATAAACAAATGAACTTCTCCAGAAACGAAAACTTCATTCTGCCCAGTCCAGTGCTTCATGCTGGTGTTTGGTTTCTCTAGGATTTCCGTGGTATTTCATCGCACGTTTTCATTACAGGCATTCGTGACACGCCGACCACGTTACGCGAAAACCTTTCCGAGGAGGCCATAGCAGTAAACCAATAACTCCGACTACGAAAACCGTTCCAGATATCATGAAGTTCTTTGGGTTGGCCTCTCATGTTACTGTGTTGTGTGTACGGGTGTCTGTTTTTTAAGGGTTGGGTTGTCTCGTCACTCACTCGTGCTTTTGAACTGATTGTATTGTACGTGCAATTGAAAGCACCTGTTCCTTGGTAAAGCATGCTGTCCTTTTTCCTTTTTCTTTTATTGTTGTTGCCTACAATTTCACTAAACAAAGGAACTCTGTTGTTTTGTAATCAGTTAACATAGCCAAGCAACAAGGGCTTCCCACCCCAAAGTTTACCTTTAGTCGCGGAAGCACCAGGGCGTTTTGATATATGAATGGAAATTCTATATATTACACAAAGGACTTAATAACATTGAAATGTAAATTGGGGTATTGTTTGTATGTACACATGGAAAAACAAACTCTGAGGAGCTTTTCAAGCTATTATTGTTTCCTCTGTAGATTACTGTTAGTTCAAAACATTTCATATGGATATCTCCAACTAATGCTATTACTACACCAAATTTCTTTGTTTTCTTTTCTATCAGTCATCTATGGATGTCACTGTACAGATTGTGGAATGTTTCAGTGTATTTTCTCTTTTTGTATGCTTTCATTTTTGTTTTTTATTGCTGGGGTTTTTGGATTCGCTCACGAGCAAGAGTAATATTTGTTAGTCTTTGTAATATTCATTTTAGCATTTCAGTTACATTTTATTTGGATCGGGAGTCTCGAGTGTTATTTTTTGTGTGTGTGGTTTTGTCAAAGCTGGTAGCAGTTGTTTGAGGTGTTGTGAAAATCCACTCGGTTGATCATCACTACTAAATTGATGGAATAAAATGCCTCATTGGACTAAATGCATAAGCTATGATGATTTTGAACACTACATATCATTGGTCGATTTGGAGCTCCTAAATGTCTTTTTCCCAAAAGTGCATCCATAGAATCTGTTGAGAAACTTGGGATTATGATCTGAGGTGGATTCCACGGCACCTTATCAAATGACATCAGCATTTTGCCTCGATTTTTATCATTATTTTACTAGACTTGTAGTACACGCTTCCTTCTGTATTTACCATTCTCTCCCTCCTCTCTACCTCTCCTCTCTCCATTTCACTTGTATATAAACCCCGCCATTTTCAGACTTGGTAGTCTGTATAAACTCCTTTTATACCTCAACTTTAGAACTGTTCTAGTGAGAGAGAAAAAAAAGAAATATGAGAAAATTGTAGTGTTCCTTATTAGAAAAACAAAAACTAATAAAATAATCTAGTGTGCTTTTGAGCCTGTAGTATTTTTTTTTTCTTGTTGCTGTTCATTAAGGGGCTATTTGCATGTTACGATCCGTAAAATGATCTGGTTATGGCGGTTATGAATGAGTCTGCCATGTTTCAGCGCTCTAGCCGATCGTCTCGCCCTGCCTGAATATTTATGCTGCATAAGGACAATAATATGAGGATCACAATAAATCAGACCTTTTCTCCTCATCTCAAATTGATTATGTGCTTTGAAACAACTCGGTTTGGTGAAATGAAACACAGTCTGCACAAAGTAAAATTAAAAACACGGCAAAACCAAACGTCAGGAATCCAGGCCACTGTTTGTTTAAGGTGGGGCTTTCTATATCAAAACATTTCAGAAGAGAAATCAATAACTCATGATCATTAGAACCGAAGATCACCATCAGTTAAGATCACTTTGTGGTTGCTAGGGTTGTTGTTGGCATGTTGCTTGGTTTTAAAACACACTTATTCTGGTTTCAGTATATGGCAAAGCTCCTCTTTCTGTTCAAGTCTATAGGATTTCAATGGCAATGTTTTAATATTATCAGGGGTTCTGCAAGTCTTATGAAGGTAAATTTAAAGGAACAGTATGTCTATGTTCGCAAATGTCAAGGGAGAACTCTATTAGTTGCATTAGCAATACTTTTAGTAGTTTAAAAATACAACTTTCAACCAAGCTCTATAACTTTTTAATTAATTTTATGAAAAAAAAAGTCTTGAATATCTGTGCGCCCAACCGTTAGAATATGGAAATAACTTCTGACCACACTAAGTGATGTTCTTTCTCAGTATTTCTGTCGTTTTCCAGTGCAAATGTCTAAAGATCTTCAAACAAGATACTTGAGAAACAAAATGACAAGAAGTGAGTTAATAATTACAACAGTAACAAATATCGACCAATGAGCTCAGAAAAATCGACTTGATTCAAAGATAAAACAAGCTGTCGTTCCCCACCGACAGATGCTTGTTCGTGCTTTAAGCATAACTTCAATTTTGTTCAAATTTTTCAATAGTTTACATCTCAAATGTATCATGATTAAAGGACGTCTAGATATTTATATTGGAAAACAAATATAAGGAAGATTTTCATTTTTTTTGTAATGCATGCGACAGTGACTTTCTGCTCTATTTTAAGACCCACAGAAGCCCTGTATTATGCTTTTTGATTGCTTTTGTGTAAACAAGCTGCAGTTACAAAGTACAAACTCTCCATCAAAACGAGTTCTTCTCGCCAACAGAAAACACTTGCCTGAAACACTTCATTTGTAGTTAAACCATTACATCTGTGGCTATCGCCTTTCGCTCCGCGGGAAGCTTTCCACAGTACCTGAACTAATTGTGGAACTACCCACTTTTTGGCGTGTTCGCACCACAGGAACTAGGAACGGTTTTAGTTCTAGGAACTCCGTTTGGAGGAACTAAATGAGCTCCTACTTCAGAGCAGGGTCTAAAACGGTTCTATAGGAACTGATTGGTGAAACGCACGCGAAACACTGGCATTTTTAAAAAGCCATGTAAACATATTTACTCCACGAACATGGAAAACAGCGATAACGGCGTTTACCTGTTGTCTGCAGTGTTGTGTTCTTTTCTCAGCTTCGATGATATGTAACACTGCAAGTTGTCTTAACAATTTGCATAATGTCTGCCTACTGGCTGCTCCGGCCCACCCTCAAAAAAACAGTTGTGCAAGTGATTTCGTATGTCGAGGAGATGCTGTTTTTTCACCACAAGAATGGACTTTTAACACCCGTGGCATAGTTGCCATACATATAATACTGTTTACAGCTGCTCGTGAAGCCTCAGGAGCTGAAACCCGATTATAATAACGCTTTAAGCGGTTAACCAATCAGAGCAGACTTGACGCTTCAGAAAGGTGGGCTTTGAAGACACAGGAACAGAGGGAGAAAAAAAAGTTTGCTGCAGCAATATACAGTACGAGAAAAAAAAATGTTGAACTCTAATCATGCAAATGTATTCAAGTAGACCTCAAAAGAGAAGTATTTGTACTTTTGAATGAGCATAGTATGGGCACTTTAACATGAAAATCTGCAAGTCTGATTTGTTAAGAATAATAATAGCACCAAAAATAGAGCACACAAGTTCTGATCTCATTCCCAACAAAACAAAGTGGTCCAAAAAGGGCCGTTTTATGAATATTAAGGCTTTGGGACAAGAAAAACTTCCTGTGAGCAGCCAAGCTGCCTGTGCCTCGTAACTAACCGACACAAAAGACTCCTAATGCATCTATTGTCAAAGAGAGACAAAAACCCATGTACCAAAACAAGCTAGCAAAAATGAAGTATTATTTACTCTTTGTACAAGCTGTGATCATTTCACTAAGCAAATACAAAGTCAATTATATACACTGAGAAATACTTTTTCTATAAAGACAATAGGCTTTGTGGTGAACTGGGCTCTAAACTGGTGGAGTTATTGCTGTTTTTCTCCGAGGGTGCCCCTGTTTTCACAGGCTCAAAGCGGATGCCAGAAGGCCCCTCGTGCTGGCGCATTCTTCTCCAAGGGAAGCAGAGAATGCGTTTGTAGGTGGTCCTCATGTCCTCGTCCCGGAACGAGTAGATGATGGGGTTCACTAGAGAGTTACACTCAGCCAGAACCAGGCAGTACTTTTCATATTTAAGAACCTGACATTCACTGCAGCTGAGACCGTCCAGTAACAGAATCACCAGACCCGGTGTCCAACAGATCACAAAGGCACCTGTAGAGAAAAAAGAAAGAGAGATGAGTGCAGGTTGCAGTTTGGTTTACGAGGTGCAAGCCACCACAGCATGCGAAACAAATGCATTCTCTTGCAAAGAGTTGTATACAGTAAGCGTTGAACCGCACTGTGATAATGAAATTATACAACACACACACACACACAAAACTGGCCAAAATATTTGTAGCATTTTCACCAGTTGCTATTTAATTTTCAAAAAATTTATTTGATCAAAAGTGACAGTAAAGGCATTTATAAATGTTACAAAAGATTTCGATTTCAAATCAATTATTCTTTTGAGCTTTCTATTCATCAAAGAATCCTGAAAATAATGTATATTGGTTTCCACACAATTTTAAGCACTGTTTTCAACACTGATAATAATAAGAAATGTTTCTTGAGTAGCAAATCTGCATATTAGAGTGATTTCTGAAGGATCACGTGACACTGAAGACTGGAGTAATGATGCTGAGAATACAGCTTTGCATCACAGGAATAAATTACATTTAAAAATATACCATAATAGAGAATAGTTATTTTAAATTGTAATAATATTTTACAATATTACTGGTTTTACTGTATTTTTGATCAAATAAATGCAGCCTTGGTGAGCAGAAGAGACTTTAAAACATTAAGAATTTTACCAACCCCAAGTGGTAGTATATGTAGAAATTAATTAACACTTGCTGTAAAAGTTTACTGTCAGTTTATGATACCTAATGCATCAACTAATATTAACAATTACTGTAAAGTTTTACCCAAGAGAATAAATATTTTCCTTACACTTTGAATACATGATTGTTCACCTCTTAAGGAAAATATTTTAAAAATATTTTACGTATACAAATAATTTATAATAGTGATTACATCTTTTTATATATGAATCATTATATGATAAATATCACCACATGATATTTCACAACCTCAACTGAACTTTTCCTTGTCATAAAAAGATCTAATTATCTGATAACATTATGATCGGGCATTCCTGAAGTTTGTGCATTATTTTTTTGTTGGTTGCGACATACTTTCAATGTAGGTAAACTGTGTCACGTGGGCTCTCATTTCAAGATACCCATAATACATTTCTAGATCTTTTATATTTTGCTACTTGCTAGTTTAATCATAATGTATTTATTTTATGTATATTTACTCACAATAGCACCATGTGCTCAGTCGACGCATTTCTTTCCACCGAGTGAATGTTCTGAATCCTAGAATCTTAGGGCAACCAAAATAACTGATTCCAGCTCGAGGTACAAAATAAGCAGGTGCGAGACAAACAAAAATGAGCCAAACCGGTTTGGTAAACTTGTTTTGGGGTTGACAGACTTGTTTTGTTTTTCCCAAAAACAAGTTTACAGTACTTCGCCACACAACTGGAGACAATTTTTCATTTCCAAACAAGTTTCCAAAACAGAAAATCAAACTTTCATTCACTCAGACAACACACAGCGAGTAATCTCACAAACGTCTGAAGTCTACCTAAGAGTCGAGGCCTTACCCAGAATCATGGACATGGTCTTCATGAGGCTGATAACAGTCTGATTGTTGGAGGGCTGATCCGTGTGTGGGGACATTACTCGGCTCCGCCGGCGAACGTAGATGAAGATGTGAGTGTAAACGGCCACCATGATGAAGAAGGCCATGAGGTTGAGGATGGCCCAGGACACTAGGAAGCTGCGGGAATACAGCGGCGCAACCATGCAGCAGGTTGACAGGTCACAAACACAGTTCCAGCCCATGGTGGGCACCAAACCCATGACGACGGCCACCAACCAGATGGTGACTATCAGCATCACCACGCGCCTCCTGGTCATGGTGCTGTGGAGCTGCATGGTGAAGATGGTCTGATGGCGCTCCACTGCCACCGCCAGCAGGTTGACCACAGACGCGGTCAGGCTCATGTTGATCAAAGCTCCGCGAATAAACCACTCTTTGATGGTCAAACCGATGGTCCACGGCCCCGTGTGGAACACCAGGTAGAGATACGATATTCCAGCAAAGAGGTCCGCGGCCGCCATGTTCCCAAGTAAGTAATAAATGGGAAAGTGGAACTGTCGGTTGATGATTATGGCCACTATGACCAACATATTCGCCAGAATAATAAAGACACAAATCGGGAGCCCGAGGCCGACCACAATAAAGTCATGAGGGCGCCAGTTCGGGCTGATGGGCTTGCCAGTCTTGTTGTAGAAGAAGGACACTGGATTGTCATAAGCCTCACAGGTAGAATTGAATAACATTATTAGAGAGGTAGTTAATGTAAATCAGTTGAACCATTTAGTTGTTGCCAGTTTTTCCTGATGCTGTAATCCTGATGCGATCAGCTGCCATTTGAAATGCTTTTACATATCAAAAAGCGTGCCAGTGTTGCTGCTTACAAGGCGTGTCTTTTATTGTTTTCCAACCCTAAAACACAGGAAGACGTGAGGACAACAACATTATCTGGCCTTATAAGTCCAGCAAGTGAATGGGTTAATCTTTAACAAGAAAGTAGAGGGTGTGATACTAGTCTCCATTAGACACACGCTAGATTTGCTGAAAGTAAACGAAGTAATGATGTTTAGCCCCCCATTACAATCCTGACTGCATGGTTTATAACTGAAACACACGAGTTTTCAGAGCAAACGTGAAGAACAGAACGAGGAATGAAATTAGTTGTGGTTACTATTACTTCTTATATTCAGTGAGAACTGGACGCAACAAATCTAACGTTACTCAGAAACACACACTGACTTGATTCGCCCCTGCAGAGGTAACTTACACTGTACAGTTTGGCTCGGTTGTCAGCACACAAACAACGCTACTTTGTTCTAAACTGACACTAGAAAAAAAAACCGCTTACCGTTGTCAGAGCTTCAGAGCAAACAAAGAAAACACACATAACAGCAGCTCAGAGTTCGCCGCTGGTCGATGTTTTGGCACTCGGGCGCTCGCCGGAAACGCTCATCTGGCGGAGTTCGTGGAGAAATCTTCAAGAGATCTGAGATCAGCCGAGATCCCCTTGTGCGCCTCCCTGAAACCTGATTTGATGAAATCACCGCCCGAGGATCCAATGAACGCGAGACTGTTGTTCTAAACGTTTGGTGACAGGTTCAGAAAGTAAATATTCCGATTCATTTCCCAGAATCTGCTACAGAGTGTATGGCAAGCCGTTTTCATATTTAATCCATGCGACAACCACTAGATTTAACGTCAGTTTCAATGGACTGTACTTAGTTATTCGTAACTATTAGACTAGTATTACCTTTTCAGGTTTGTATTACTAAATGAATATACAATAATACTTATTTATTAAACACTAAAATGTTATTATATTATTATTATAAATATTATTATCATTTTAAGTGAATTATGTGGACATTCTGATAGTAAAGACAGGTAAGAAATGTTACTACCCTTACGAATTAACCATGGTTTTACTACAAATAAAACAAAACCATGGTTACTATAGTTAAACCATGGTAACTGCAAATTAACCATTGTTTTGCTACACTAACCATAGTTTAATCATGGCATTTGTAGTAAAACTGTTATTATACAAATGGTAATCAAAACACCAAAAAGCATGGTTACTACACTTTTACTGTAGTAAAACCATGGTTAATTTTCGTAAAGGTAGTAACAACTAGGAAAGATAGTAGCTATGTTTCCATCCGAAGTTACAAATATACTTATGTGCAAAATTGGAATATTGCATAAAACATTTGCAAATAAAGCACCGAGTTGAAGAGAACAAAATCGTCACTTCCTGATTACTGATCAAATAAATTACACGCTTCAGAGTGCGCAGACGAAACACGGTTATGTTAGGCTATCTTATTTTTGGAGCCTGCTGTTTGGGAATGCAGTTCTGGGAGTTAATTATAACAAAGCACTTTGAGAGATATTGCCGAAGCTTTTTTAGAATGACAAAACTAGCATTTCAGATGCTGTGCAATGAGATCGGTCTGTTGGTTGGTCCAGTTATGCTGTTCCATCGCAAAGTCACATGTCTTTTTTGATGCACATTAAGGAATTTATTTGGTAAAAGTGTTTTCATCGTAGTTTATGCGCATGTTTTCTTACCGGATTAGAATTGTTCTACTAAGTTGAGCGCAAAAGTTTTTTTAATGCGATATCCCAAAATGCGCATAAAAATAGGTGGATGGAAACATAGCTAGTGTCTCCTAATGAAACGTTGGAAGTAAAAATTGGATTAAATACCAATATGGAATACACAGTCAAAATAGAATTCAATAATCGAAATGTAAAAATGAAATGTTACTTGTTACTATATGACTAATTTAATATATAGGCTTCCTGTCATCACTATTGGAAAACATTATTGTAGTTAGGAAATAAATGCAATAGCTTGCCATTTGAGTTAACATAATTTGTTATTGTGACTACGACTTGTTAAAGGGTTCAACATTTTCATTTAGATTTATTTGTGTTAACACAAAAACATAAATTTAGCAGATTGTCCTGCTCTGTCACATACAAACAAATTGGATGGCCATCCAGACTGTCCGGCTCCAAAATCATCATATAACCATTAAAGTATCATAAAAGTATTGCAAAAGTATTGCAAAAGTGGTCTGTATGACTCATGCACTATATTCAGTCAATCAAAACCACATTTTATGTGAGAAACAGACTACTCAAATTAGCGTTTGAGCTATAATTAGAAATTAATGTTGGCAGTGACCAACAAAAAGGGTCTCGAGAGAATGTTAACTGTTGTTGTAACAAAAGTTACTATTTTTAAGTGTTTTTATTTTTTTTTGACGTATTATAATCATATGTTCAGTACGTATCCTCCTCAAAAATTAGGGATTTTCTCAAGGATAATTGGTTCATTGTAGTCAATAATGTTGGGATGGTTCAATACGTGCACCCAATAATCGCAGGAACACTGAGCCAAAAATGGAATAAACACATCAGACATTTTGATGTGGTTTTACAGTATTTAGTCACATTAAATTTAAACAGACTTGACAGGCTACACTTTTTTGTAATGATGTTGGATGTTTAGTTAAACAACACAAAGGAAAGACTTTAGTCAAAGTGTCTTGAACTGAAGATCTCATAAAAACCATTAATATCTAACACATGGGGGCGAGGAATATATGTAAAAGTTGAACTTATAATTAAACTTTTGGAAGAAAACTTTGCATTTACCTATAAATATTTCCAGACATAATAATTTATACAACATACATTTTCTCCCTTGCCTGAGACAGTTTACTGAACAGACAACTGAACATTTTATTTATTTACTATTTTTTTACTTCATTTAAGACAAACCAGACAAAATGCAAGTAGTTATTTTGTAAGTGAAAACCAGAAACCTTGCTAGAGCTAATAACTCAAAATAATTTCTTCTTTGCGTCAAAGGCAATCAGCGATTGTGTTTTATGATGTCTTTATCCAGAACAAAGTCCCACATGAGCTTGTTGACTCTCTCAGGTTGATCTTGTTGTACCCAGTGGCTGCATTCGGGAATAGTGTGAATGAAAACCGGACCCCTCACATAAGGCCGTGTTCCACCAGACATGCCCTCAACCAGTATATTGTCTGCCTCACCCCAAATTAACATGCAGGGCACACCGACATCCTGATGCTTGTACAGAGTGTTACTGTAGAAAGAGAAGTGAACAATAACCACACTATACCTCCAATGACATAGAAATGAAAGTGTGACTGATTTTAAACCTGAGAAGAGAACGAAAGTAGTTCAGAGGGCCTGTGAATCCTTTGAATAAAAGCGTCTGCTAAATGACTAAAAGTAAAAGTAAAGTAAAGTAAAGAAGAATGTTGGTAACCAAACAGTTGACGGTAGCCATTGACGTCCAAAGTACTTTTTCCATACTATGGAAGTCAATGGCTACCTCAACTGTTTGGTTACCAACATTCTTCAAAATATCTTCTTTTGTGCTTACCAGAAGAAAGAAACTCATTCAGGTTCAGAACAACTTGAGAGTGAGTAAATGATGCCTGAACTATCCATTTATTCTAAGATTTCAGGATAATTCTTTGTATGCACTCTATGTACCTATGTAGGATGGTAATTAATATTAAAGCGTCACGCTCAGGCTGAATTACGCAAGTGTCCTGCATGTGTTCAGTCATTTGAATGTAAAACTGTTATTAGCAGTTAATTATAGGTTAATCATACAACCTACAATACGACCCCAAATCTGCCCAACCTTAATGTATGGTCAGGGGCTGCTACTATTCATTTGTGATATAGTCAGTCAGTAAGTACCCAGTTCATCGATGGTGTCTCTGATGTCATATAAGAGTGTGTCCAGTGAATATTCCTCCAGCTGGACTGGTGCGTCAGAATCTCCACAGCCACGCAGATCTAGCGCCACCGTGTGGTAGTGACTACTGAATTCCTGTAATTGGTAACGCCAGGAGTACCTGCAGGTCATATACAGGTGCATCTCAATAAATTAGAATGTCGTGGAAAAGTTCATTTATTTCAGTAATTCAACTCAAATTGTGAAACTTGTGTATTAAATAAATTCAATGCACACAGACTGAAGTAGTTTAAGTCTTTGGTTCTTTTAATTGTGCTTTACATTTAATTGCTCACATTTAACAACAATCTCAACAAATTAGAATACTTCATAAGACCAATAAAAAAAAACATTTTTAGTGAATTGTTGGCCTTCTGGAAAGTATGTTCATTTACTGTACATGTACTCAATACTTGGTTGGGCCTCCTTTTGCTTTAATTACTGCCTCAATTCGGCGTAGAAGAACCTTTTTGTCTAAATGGCTCCATAAAGAAGCTTTAACATCTGAAGAACCTTTCTGTTTCACAAAAGATTCTTTGTGGCGAAAAAAAGTTCTTGAGATTATAAAAAGGGAAGAAAGAGATGGTTCTTTAAAGAACCTTTGACTGAATGGTTCTTTGTGGAACCAAAAATGTTTTTTCTATGGCATTGCTTGAAGAACATTTTGAAGCACCTTTATTTTTAAGAGTGTACTGACTGACTAAGCAAATAACCAAGTACGTATAACGTATAATCGACACTCTTTTCAATTACTATTCCTGCAATCTTATGAAATCTTATCACAATCTTATCAAATTTGAGAAAGATTGGAAATGTATACATTTCATTGAACGCTGCTAAGTGTGATTTCATTAAAGACAAAGGAATGTGGAATAGATTGAGGAACGCCGTGTTCTATGTCTAAACACAGGTGGCGCAAGAGCACAAGATATGGACGATCATGATTTAGCCTTTCATTCACCTATAGAACGAACACAGATCACGCAGAAAAAATGATTTACTTTCAAACTAATCTGACTATTTGTAGATTTCATAAAGTTACAAAGAAGCGGCAAGTAACACATTTAATTAAAGTGACATTTTTTAAGTCGAAAGACTGAAATAGTGTTTGTCTTACTCCAATAGACTAATCGTTTTATTTACATCTTCGACAGTGTATAATTACCTTCTACATATAACTTTGTTAAATGTTTTTAAAGGCATCAGATAAATAATTGATCATATTCTTCATTATAAATCCTCTCACCCTGCCCTTCAGATACGCATGGTCACCAAGTGCAGGGTCTTTTAGGCAGTCTGGGGGTCTCTTTCGAGCGGTCCATTGAAAGGTTCCATATGGATCCCTAAATCCAGTCCAGGCAATTCGGATCAGAACCAAACACGCGGTGATTCCAGCTGTGCCGTACACGAGAATGTAATATACTAAAGAGAGAATCCTTAAGCTTAGTCGTGTTGGTAATAAAAGCAGGTGCATTAAAGAATTGCTCATGACTGTAGTAATTTTGATAATCAGAGATATATAGGCTAGAGACACGGGCTCTGTGTAGCAAATGTCCCTTATCTTCGGACAAGTTCACCTTTCAAAATAACCCCCCATGTGACTGTGTGGAAACAACTGTCATTGAGCTATTTTTGTACCACATATAAATGGTCTGGGAGACTGGCTTAATTACAAGCATTTATTTTTTCTTAATCTTCGGCTATCTTTACTTGAATGCATATATGTAGTCTATATATTTAGATTCCTAATTTATTATTATTATTAATTAATTAATTAATTTATTTATTTATTTTAGTTACAAAAAAGAAAC